CGGAAGCATCACCAACAACTCAAGACATGTGATTATGAAAGTCAACCCTAGGCCCTAGACAAAACAGACTAGAAACCCCGGAACCCCAAACCCGAAGCCCTAAACCCCTAAACCCTAAAACCCTAAAACCCTCAAAACCTAAACCCTAAAACTCTAAAACCCTAAACCTTAAACCCTAAACCCTAAACCCTAAACCCTAAACGCTTCCAGGGTATACTATGTTATAAGAACCCTAAGGAACAGAATTGGAGAACCCCGAAGAAAAATAGTACTGAGTTGAAAGCTTTTGGAGCCTCTTGGTCGGGACACCAAGCTTATGCATGTATCCAATCCGTTGATCGCCCATGGCCGCCCACACATTTGCTCTCTTGTCTTTTTCCGTCATGCCCTTGCGCGCAATGATTCCAAGCCATGACCAGCCAAACCACCCAGGCGGTTTGTGTTCGTTTGAAGTTTTTAAAAAAGTTCATCTAATCAACTGCATGTGCCTTACCGGTGCCAGCAATAGCGTCTCACACAACCAGCAAAGGCCAAAGCTACTCCTACCCATCCTAAAGACATCCAAATACTGTGCCTATAAGACAGAGTGGCAATGGCCGATCCAGCCAGAGCGGCAAGCAACATTAGAAGAACGATGCCTAAAGATTGAAAATAGGACTTACATCGATGGTCTTGCACGGCACCCCGCTCGCAAAGGTAGATCAGAAGGACCAGCAAAGCCGGCATAAAGAGGAGTATCAATCCGACCACGTAGCTTAGAATGTAACCCAGCAAAATGTTCAAGGGTGTGGCAGCCTTAACCATCGCCAGCACACCTTCTAAGCAAACCGCCATCAATGGCGACGTGAGCAGGCATATATAGCCAAAGGAGACACTGCCAGGGGTCTGCATGGGTTTCAGCACATCTTCGCGAAGAGGACCCCGCACGTAGGCAGAGAACGCCTGCAAACTACCATACCAGTTTTCGATGGCCGTGTGAATGCATGCCTTGTCGTATTCGCTCCCGTACTCTACACTCATCACGTCGAAGCTGTCCATGTCGGCAATTAACCTGGCTTGTCGTTCAGGTTCCTCGCCAAACTATCTTCTAGCAGAGCCATGCACCACTTACAAACATCTGTTCCATGTGGGCTTGTGAAACACTCTTGCCGACAAAACTGCCTTCAACAAGGCCAGGTAGCTGCTTCTTGCATTGGCAGTTATACCGCAAAGCATGTATGGCAGCAAATCCAGAACTACCCAAAGCCAGCACGATTGCAATAAACCACAGAATCGAGAGTCGCTCGGTAGTCCGTGAAAACCACCAGGCAATGGATGCAGCATATATCCACAGATACATCCTTTGACCAAGATGCAACACACTATCACATTTGAAGCTCGGATCTTTATGATTTGCTTCTTAAGGCTTCGTAAGACTGGATTGAAAGCCCAGGAGCACAAGCACAATCATCTCAATGTATATTGGTGCCAAAGATATCTTGCCGGTTGGATTCACTTTACGATATGCTGCGAGCTCAAAGATGCACCACCTGGGTTGCCGAGCCAAATGACATTGAAATAATGCACAGCGACATCGTTGAACTCTGGAAGGGGTTTGAGGTGGTAACATTCTTGCGGGAAGGGTGTTTGATGATACTGCTACAGTACAACACACCAATCACATGCTGTAGAAGGCCGATGCACAATCTCGACAGATATGGCACGCTCCAAAGGACACGCAGCTCTGAAGAAGCCGCCAGAAATGCACCAATCTTGAGAATCCCCTGCTTCATGAGCTGTTCATCTGCCTGGTGAATGCAGGCGATGTCCACAAAGCATTTCCGTGAATGTGAAGTCCACGGAATGTAAGGCGACGCCGTCAAGCCGACGAATGCGGACAGTAAGCCGGTTAATAGGAGCCAGCAAGCTGCAGGTGCTGCTTGTTCAAGTGCTGTGACATGCACAGTGATAACCCGGGGCAGAACATCAAATAAAGAAAGAATGAAGGAGAGGCTTGTGCCAAACGTCCAGAAGAAAAGGGTTGGTTTCCAGCCGAACTGGAGAAGCAGAGAGAGGAATTTCCATTTGCCCGGCGTGTGCCATGCGTGCGAGATAAACACATCCAGCTTCGCAACAGGCTCTGACCGTACAGCTGCGCCCGTTGGCTCAAGTTCAGATCAGCTGGCCTGCGACGCCAGAGTCGACCAAAACTGCGCAACGTCTTTTGCAAAGATATGCCTCGCAACAGCTCCGCACTGACATTCGTCTTGGTGAGGTCGAGTATCTCGATGCTGTCGGAGGAGGTTGACATGAAGCCAAATACTTCTGAGCTCGGGCTGGTCATACCAGCCATTCCCTCTTCGAAGATGGCCTTTGCAGGGTGCTTCACACACTATTGCTCAGTTAATGGCTTCTTGGAACTTGGGTAAAGCAAGAGCAAATCTCTTTCGACAAATATCATTTTCCAAAGGTGCAGGAGGACAAGTTGGTTGGCATGCTTCCACCTGTTCAACTTCCGTCTGCTCGCTCTTTGAGCAGCAGTTCTCGGTCGATGCCCAGGCTTGGCCCATGGATTCAATCCAACCCAACTATGTCTTTGAAGACCGTTTCAAGTTTTCAAAACACTCACTTTGAGCCGACGGCGACGGACAGCAGGAACTGATGGTGGCAAGAAGTCGCCGACGGTGCATTATCCACATTATGAATCAATCACTATGCATGAAAAATCAGAGCATAGGAAATCTCGCCCGAGACGAAACAAGTTACCTCAACCGCATGCTCCGCGAGTACGTTTTTGGCTGCGAGATCCAGCAGCTCAATTAGGTTCAGAAATATTCAACAAGATACTAGGTTTCTGCTCTCTGGTGCTTTCCGTCCTTCCGTACTGCCACGACTGGGACATTTCGGAACAATCAAGAGGATGTGGATGCTTGTTGCAGTTGATGTTTCGAGACCTGGCAGACTGGGGATGTTCACGTTCACCTAATATAGACGGAACTGCTCGCAGCTTCTTAGACAACGTCACATAGTACCGGACATGTTGCTGCGGCATGCGTCGTTGCAAATAGTATTGCCTTGCATCCGCCCATTCATCACGACACATCTACTACAGCTACTGTTGCTGCCACTTCCCGGGTTCGTCTGTAGCGTGTGATTATATCCAACTCTCTCTTTCTGCACATAACCTTGTACAAGCGTGCCTGCATACACACATAATTACACACATGCTACATTGAATTACTCAATACCACATGCGTAGGTCATAACTGCGTATCGGTGTCTTAATCACCCGCCCGTTTTACCCGATTCTCCCGCGCAAAAACAACCCCGAATGTTTCCGCATAGCACTAGAGCAATGGTTCAACCTTGGCTCACAAACCAAAACTCAGGGATGCTTCAAGATGAAGTCATTTCAACAAAAGGATTCTGAGCCCGTGGGCAAGCTGTTGGCATGCCTCGGGAGTCCAACAGCTCTGCTCCTGCAATTTCGCACTACGCCAGCGCTACCTAAAGACACCATCCAAAACCGATCTCGCCTCCCCGGCCCGTCGAAGTTGGAGCCCGGCCATGATCTAAGCATGCAAGCATGGGTACAACATGTCGCTGCACTGAAGTAACGATACACATCAAGCATGTGGTCGCATGGTCAATGATGGATGCCACGCAAGAACGATCTTGCGCCTGAGCCAGAAGCTTCTTGAGCCGAAAAGGCCTGACTGGCTGAGCCACTCACACCGGCCTATCGAAAATGTTGCAATGTTGAGACTGAGGATTAGGCAAGTCTCAAGCCTCAACATTTGATTTATCTGGCCTATGAAGACGAAAGAACTCTCGACCTAAGCACATCGATAAGTGTCAGGACAAGCGAATCCTGAAACAGCTCACCCGTGAAAGCCACGGACGTGTCATGTGAAGATGGACGAAGGTTGAAGCCCAGCAACCTCCAGAGCACTCCAAGTAGCGAAGCTGAAGCCGTGCGAGCTCTTTGAAGACATGCGTCGGTGGTGGCTTGGCTCCGTCTTTTCCCCGCAGTCACAAGTCTGCCAGGCTTTGCGCGAATGGGTTTCTCAAGACATGTGTCCCCTGCACGGCTGTCGATCCTGTTGGGAAGCTCTGCAAAGGCTATCTGTGCAAATCCATAAATCCAAATCTAGATGCCTGCCGGGGATGCAGAGCTGAGAAGCCCACTAAGAATGTCATGCCATTCTAGTCGTACGCCCTGGCTGTGCTTGACTGACGCGACACGGAGGGTAAGCACTGGAGCCTTGTAAGAAGGGGCAAGATTGTGCGCACACTTCACCCCGAAGAGACCACCTGTTCCCGTGGCTTCATACGATTACGACGACGACGACCACTTCTCCTACAAGTACGAGTACTAGTACCAGTTCCAGTAGTAGTACTCGCACTGCTAGTGCCAGTGCAAAAGCTAGTGCTAGCACTAGTGGTGCTACGGCTTACTGCTTTTGCTACCGCTTGGTAAAGGCACTGGTGCTGCTGCTTCTGATACTGCTACTGCTGCTGCTACTGCTACGGCTGCTGCTGCTGCTACTGCTAATGCTACTACTACCAACTAGTGCTACTCGCATTCTTCCCAGAGGCGACATTCCTGGTGGGTCTAAGTCTACATACCACTTCAGGCAGCGATCTACTAGAGCTCTACACCAGCGAAAGGGCAAGCTCCGGAGTCTGAAGGAGACAATGTCGAACTAGTTGCGGGGGTGAGTGGAGTTTGCGGTCACTCAAGATCGGCGAGAGGGCTCCTTGGAGGTTCATGTGTGGTTCCAAACACTGCCAAAGGCACATAGCGAGGACGTTACTGATTGAGTTTCGGTGTACCACCAAGAGCCTCCAAGTCGGTGGAGAAACCGAGAAAGGGAGAAGCAGGGAGAGCCCAATCCACACGAAGTTACCTTCAGGAATTCTTTGGCTTTCGGACGTTTAAACTTGAGAGGTTGAAGGTGTTCAACGAAGGAAAACCTTCGCAACAGAAAGTAGCCTAAAGCAAGGGCCTTAGCTCTTCTCCCTGTGCAGCGACACGAAGCTGGGATAGCTGGTGCTCTGTGCCTTCGTCTTGTTCGGGAAAGGCAAACTCTGAGTCGACTAGAGGTCTGCACAATTGGTTTGGGAATAGCTCTCGCGTCGTGGGATTATGCATTCCGAATCAAACATGTCACTGGTGGCAGCCTGCATAAGAGGTAGCTACGACCGTTGCACGGGTGCACGAAATTGGGATCAGTGCAAGCGTGCGATTTGTCTGGCAACTGACAGCTACCGCCCCAAGGCCTGTTCTGCAGCAACAACCCGGCAACACAGTAATCTTACGATGACCTCAGAAATCTCGGCAATTCAAGAAGGCTCGCTCACGACTGGGTTCCTGGAGTCTCCATTATAAAAACATCTATCTTCGGTGCCGACATTCATAACTGCCTACCTTCAAACTGACACCAAATCACTACGTGACTACTCAGCCTCCCGAGGCCCCAGAAGCACCACAGCACCCCCAGCTCGGAGAAACATCTGCTATCCCGGGAGGTGCTTGCAAGGCTTGGAAAACGCGCAAGCAACCCTTCTTATGAGTGAAAGGTCTAAGGCTTGAGGGCTTCGGAGTTTAGTGCCACAAGCTTCGCTGAGTTCGGAGACAGTGTGGGGTGAGCCGAAACGTGCAGTTGGGTTTTTGTAATGGCGAAGCGGATGCAGCTGACTGTCTGGATGTAGGTGCGACGCCGCCACTATAGAGTACCATGCAACAGCACAAGTCTAAGTCTAGATGTTGTAGGAGCCTCGCAAGAAATGACTATGCCCGCAAACCCATTTCAGCTGTTCACGGCGAGGATACACGAACTGAAAATGTCATTATCGTACGCCGATTGTCTTCATGCAACTCTTTGACTCTTTGCGCTCAGTGAACACAGAAACAACACGAACAGTAAATGCCATGGACAGCTGTCGAGCGCTGTGGCACACGACCTTTTCTGTGCATCCCTTGTTTAGAAACATGTGCTTGGTGCTGAAGATAGAGGCATACTTCCCTCACTGGGTCTCTTCTCGAAGCTTGCATG